TTCGAAAATTCGGGTTCTCTTTGGGTAGCATGGACTAAACACTACCTCCTCCGTAACAATTCTTTTGGTGACATCTCAGAGAACACTATGATTCGGAAGGCGAAAAGCATCACTTGGCTCGCTTGTAGAGTCAAACTATCCACGAGTTTGAGAATGAGATAGTGGGGTCATTTTCAAGCATGTCCGCTGTGCAGGGAACAAGACGAGACTAGAAACCATCTATCTTTGCTTCTCCATACTCATACACGATATGGAATAATCTTTGTTCAAATTTGCTTGCGGCTTATCTTAATCCAGATTGGAATTTGACGATTCGTTCTCTCCAACGAAACACTCTTTCCCCTTTGGATTCTATGCTAACTCGTTTGGCTTTTCAAGTCACTATATACTGGACATGGAGGGAGAGGAATGGGCGTCGTCACGAGAGGCCACACCATCCTCCTATGTATTTGATTCATGTGATTCGTAAGGAGATACGAAATCGGCTCATCTCCTTCAACAATGAAGACACAGGCGATGCAAATGAAGCTCTTTTGAGATGGAATGTTATCTCGCAAAGTTGATACTCTATTACTCTCTTTTCTCATCATAGTATTTTTCAGTGAGTCGAATTAGAACACGTTGGATCAAACATTTATAACATTTTCTTTTTTGTTGATAAATAAATTACATTTCAACAAAAAAAGAAAACAAAAAACAATATAGGATTTTGTTCAGATTATGGTTAGACGGGTCATCTTGATGGGATATGTGAAGAATATTCCGCATCAAATTTTTGACGAGATTTTAAATGAGATATACACCGATTCGCTAATTGTCAATTAATTTTAAATTGAAAACTCATAAAATTTAAATGGCTAAAATAGTAAAAAAACCCATCAATAAAAGATAATGGCTGAAAATAATGTTTAGCCACTATTTTTTAATTATATAAGCCGTTTAAATTTCTCGTTTTGGCGATTAAACCATCTCTAATAGAGAAACTCTCATGAGTTTCTAAACATTAGAAAAATAAAATAAATGAGTACATGTAGAGAAAAGATGAAACGAATCTCTAGAAAAAAATTTCAGAGTTTAAAAAAAAAACTTTTCTTCCAAATGTCTAATGGTGATTGATTAAGTTTT